GACGATTGATCTGTGTTGTATGTGTGTATGAGGCGTCTACATACATATAACATGTTGCTAATGGGATTGGATGAAAGAGAAACAACAAGGGGAAAAAATGAAAATTAAGCGTCAAAATTATTTTAGAGAGAGAAAACAAAAAAAAAGGAAGAGAGGAGGGGGCTGTCCTTGAAGAAGTGTTCCAATTGACTTAAGGCGAACAGAATGTTCCGCCCACCTTGCTTTTAAGTCATTTCATTGAACATTACGAGATAAGTGCTTAAATATAATTAAAGAGAGAAGAAAGACGAACTAATTCGAAGATGAAGGAGAAAATAAGAAAAAAAAATTGTTTGAATGCCATTAAAGCATATGTGAGAAAGAAAGAAATGAAGGAATCTGACACTGTGCTTCAGTTTTGGTATTTGTTGGCACAGTGAGTCAGTTTCACAAAATTCAAATCTCGCTCTCTCTCTCTCTCTTCAACTTTTTTTTTGAAATGAATATATGATAAGTGTTGGAAATGTGTTAAACTAGAAACGGTTTTGATATGAAAGTTGCAAAAATGGAAATGTTTACGAAAATTTTGGTTTTTGAATAGTGTGGTAGGAGCTCAATGAAGTTCAAGGTTAATCCTGAGACGTCTTCAAACGACGAGCGCCTGTGAACCGGACCCAATGGAAGGTTTGCCTTTCGGATCGTCGGGAGGCCTGTGCAATGATGAAACATTCAGTTTTTTGCTCGCTCTCTCTCACTTGAGATGAATTCTATGTAAGAGTTATGGAATGGTGAAAAAAAGAAAGAAAAAAGAAATAAATGAGAGGAGATGATTACTAGAGAAAGAGAGAGTGAGAGAGAGAGAGAGAGAGAAGAGCTGTGATAAGAGAGATGAGAAGAAGGAACTGGAAAACTCTTAAAGCATAAATGAATATTCGAAATAGCATTATGATAAGTTGTATGAGATTGGAGACATCAATAACTCATTGGAAGCATTTGTCAACAACAAAAGACCAAAAAAGACAAATGTTATACTTTGTACAGAATTCTGAGTGGACGGACGAATATGAAAAGTATATGGAGGTGGATAGTCCAACTTAGGCATTGCAAAGAGAGAGAGAGAGAAGGGAGGAGGTGGAGGGAGAGAGATAGAAGGGCAGACAGTGAGAAAGTATCCATATTCGCCTTTGGTTATTCGAAGGTAGAAAACGAGAAATACACCATAGCATGAGAGGAGAAAGCGACAACCAATGAGGGATGAATACAGGACATGAGATTGAAGCAAAGTATGAGCTAAAAGTGGCCGGTTTTGGAAAAAAGGAGAGAAAGAGAGAGAGAGGAAAGAGTATGAAAGGGAGACGTCAAAATTCAACGAGGAGGCAACACGCAGTTAACCAGCGTATAGCCCGACCCCAATACAACGGACAGGATGAGAAGTTATAGAAAAAGAATGAAAAGTTATAAGAGAGAGATGAAAAAGGAGAAATGTAAAAGGATGGAGAGAGAGAGAGAAGGTATGGAGAGAGAGAGAATGGAGTAGAAGAGATATGGAGACTGAAAGCCACAGAGAGAGTTAGTTGTGGTCAAAAAGCAATTGAAACCCGTCTGTGTCAGTTTGTAGGTGAACAGTACGCTAACACATCAGTTCGAAATGAATGCAAGTCCAACCATATTTGTCTTCGCTTCTCCGTATTCTAGACTCTCCCATCATAGGTGCTGTGCTGAAGGTAGAAAAGTGATGACGATGTGAAACTACATCAAGAAATTACAAATACCACACCCAACGCATGTTGCCATCATCAGAATCTATTTGAATGAATCAAACTTGTCAATGTTATGAATCATTTAGAAAGAAGAAAAAAATACATAAAAAGAGAATTTCGAAACATGGACTACTACTCAGAGGAGAGAAACGCCCTAATTGCTGAGATGTTTTTTCGGATGGAAGCGTAGGTAGGAAGGAGAGACACAGCTACTGACGGAGATCATGAATATGGGTCAGACAATCAGTTATTAAAAGTCTCCTTTTTACTTTTTTTTGTCAAAATTTCCAAGTAAAGATGATGATGAAGGGAAAGAAGTGATTGGCTTGTCCCCAACCAGTTTGTGCGCAATGGGTCAAACTGCACAGAATTCACGTCAACACACCTACAACACATCAACTTAAAATGAAACAAGACGAGAAAAATAGATTCTTGTAAGTTCATTTCATGAACTGATGTTTAGACAATTCTGTCATGTCATCTATGAATGTTTCAAAACTTGGTCGGGAGAGGAGGCACGAAGTAGGTGGGGACAAGAAGAAACACCGATGCCATCAGAATGCTATAAGGCAGATTAGCTGCGTCTACGCAAATATTCTGTACTAATCAAGCTTTGACGACTGTCGTTAACTGAACAGACGATGTTTCAAGTTTTGCAGCAAAGCGAAAGGTAAGAGATGAGCAAACGTCGAGAGAAGGAAACAGTGAATGAAGGGGAAAGAAGTAGAGATTTCAACATTCACCGACTCTTTGTACCTGCATCCAGTGAGCAACTGAGTTATGCAATTCCTGATTCTCAGAAACTCTGGAAAGAGAATGGAAAGAGTGAACAAGACTCTCTCGTTCCCGGAACTCTTAGAAGAAGTTCCATAGTTGAAGGTTGGGGTTGGCAATGAATCGAAAGGGAGTATTCACGATTTAATTGTTGTGTTTTGGATGTGATTAGTACGGTTTGAATTCTTTTGCAATCCTCTCCAACTGTCTAGGCCGACGAAGCGAAATGTGAAAATGCCGAAACCTGATCACAACAATTTCTGAAAAAAGACAAACATTCGCATTGCACGCAATGCTACTGGTTTTCGTTCATCTATAATCATTATATAAATACAATAATTTATATTAATGAAAGGGCTATATAGGTAGAGACCCTCATTTGCATATGTGACGTCATATGAATTTGAGATTAGTTGGAGAAGCCCATGGGCATGCCGTTAGAAGAACTTGACCGCAGGTGAAGTAACCGTCTTCATTTGCTTTACAGATTAGAGCAAAGTACAAACAGAACGTCAGGTTTTCACAACTTTCGTCAAAATCTAATGTAATCATCAATTTAAATAATTAAAGATGTCTAGAATCAGAAGTGAGATTATGATTGATGAAGGAACGTTGCTTACGTGATACATGTACAGCTACGGGCACGGAAGCGGAGTACACGGAAGAGGAGGTTTGCAGAAGACGTCAGCATGCTGCGATTACTCGTCATATATAGGTGTGAACGAAAATGGAATCTGTTTGAGTGCGAATGCGGACCACCTCCACCTCCTCTCCAACTTCTGGAGTAGAAGAACCATTAGACACGCCCAAGATCAGTGGCCATCATGATTCATCTAATAGAACGAAAACGGTTGCGGCAAAACTTTGATGACTAAAATATGAAAAATTTGAGAATAAAGAAGAGAAGTAGGAGAAAGGGAGGTGAAGAAGTGATTGTTAAGAAATGAAAAAGGTATAAGTTGGAAGAAATGCAAAGAAGAAGTCACCATCGCTGATCTTCTGCGACAAAGCAATAACTCAAAAGGAACTATCAGACCCAAAATGTATTCGAACCTGTCATACCTGTAACTTCTATTCAATATTCATATTACTATAGAGATGTGAAAGAACGATGGTCATTGTTATCCATTTTTCTCATTTCCATTCAATTTTTCTTTGGGAAAACGAAGGACAAGAACCTCCAAAAGAGTAAAAACTGATTATGAAAATGAAATTTTATATTTCAAAAATTTTTCTAATATTCAACTAGGAGCAAACTATGCCATGGTCCTGATCTAATTCGTGCAACGTACATTGTACGACAGTGCGTCGTCTATTGGAGGAGTCAAGTATTTGAGTTCAAAAAACGTTTATGATGTTTATTGATCCGTTTGAAATTCGGTGATTAGAGATGAAATAACCGAAAGCCTTTACGGATCTGTTGTTTGGACTTCAGATGTTGCGAGTACGCACAGTAAGCGCTGTAAGCCGACTGGAAAAAGCTAGAAATTCACTAAATACAACAAAGAATTAAGAAAACGGGAGAAACGAAACGAAGATTATTAGGATGAAATACGGCACAACTATCCTCATTACAGTTTCTAGAGCTTTTTTTGGTTAAGAAAGCATTGGCTGATAAAATAATAATTTCGTGTACTGTGATGACGGTGTGAGCATATGGAATGAGCTTTGATGATTTTTGATTTACATATTCGAATATGGTCATGGCTTAACAAGATTTTTCTCAATTGGCCATGTCGTCTTCCATTTCAATTGCTTAGAAAAAGCTTTTCCTACTTTATCCTCTTCTCCATCTTTACCCAACATATTGCCACCGTAATCGGCTTACTCGCCCCCACTGTTTACTTTTCCTTTGACTTACGAATCATGAGCAAGCAACCTTTCCTACTTGCTTCTCATAATATTTCCGTTGAAATAATTGTTTCTAAGTGTAGAGAGGGAACGGCAGATAGTTTCTGCCTCATACAGTTTTGGTTGGGAAGTAGGCGAAGAAGGATGTATAAGGGAGGGTGGGGGGAGAAGAATAGGAAGAGGAGGAAGAAGCATGATAGATCTCAACAATCGTTACTTTCGTTCAAATACAAATAAGGGAAAGCTTCAAAAAAACTTGGCTAAACCATTATATTTTCTTAAACAAACACAACGATGGCCATGTAGGGTAGAGAAAGAAACAGATTGTTGTTTGTTAATAGGGCAGATGTGATAGGAAATTGAAGGAAAATCATATTTGTAACATCAATAACTAATACATTTCACTAATTCATTCCTTGTATTTGTATAGAAAACAAAAAAAAAAGAAAAAGAAGAAGACAAGGGTGGTCATGTTCGAAGAATTCTGTGTCGACGACCAGCGTCTTCTTTTACCGTAAGGCCAGCTTGTTTCGTGTACTTATTGGATGGCAAAGCGAATAGCAAACAACCAAAAGCTCCTTGTTTCACGAAAGTTTCATTTCTCTCTACACTTGTATATTAGCTCAAATAATGATATTAGAAATCGAATTTCACGTTCAACAAGCTTTCCAGCTTCTCTACAGCTTCATCTTCTTTCGAGAGATCAACCTGGAAAGGTTCAAATAATGTTTTGATTTCGAAATGGGATTGAGTAGACAAACCTGAATTGCCTGCCAACCCAAGGCTACGGCAGCTTCACAATTTTCTTTCAGATCATCAAGAAACACGAGTTCATTCGGTTCAAGACCTAGCCTGTCCGACATAATCTTCAACCAGACAGTCAGAATGATTATCAATGATTGCGATCACCTTATATATTTTTTGATCAGGTTTCATGACACCTTCAATGCAAGATTCTACAACCACATCAAAGACAGATGTATCATATGGAAGACGAGCTTCTTTATGTTCCTTAAATAGATGATAGCTTAAGCTATGGCTAGTTTCTGCCTTACAATATCCAGATAGCAGTTATTTGTCAACAGAGCACTCTTCAATCCTTTTCCATGCAACTGTTTAATGAGTAAATGAATTTTCTTGCTCTATGATATAATCTTTTTTCTTCTCTCATAAGGCTGTAACATACGAAAACGACGTGATCAGGATTGGCGAGACACGACGACAAGACAGTCATTTTCAGAGGCAAATTCGTATTATACTTCAGAATAAGAAGGATGTGTGATATATGACTGGGCTTGCAAACGAACTTTCTCATTGATGTACTGGGAGAAGAGACCGTTCTCAACTTCTTCCACAGATATTTCACCCGTGAATATACCTCCTTTGCCTGTCCATTCAGTGAAACCTGTTCCTGAAAGAGTTTTTGAATGGAAAAAAAAATTTTAAAAATAACAACTGTAACTACCTTTGACTTCAGCAGCTATTGTTCCGATGGGTAGACCAGCTTGTTTATCATACGCTTCAAACACATAATTTATATTTTCGAGTAAATGTCTCACCATCCCAGAAAGGTTTTATATTCTCAAATGATAATATGACTCCGCCGAAGTCAAACACAACACCTTTTATGGTCATTTTGGTAAGCAGCAATGAGTTCTTAACTAGAATGGATTGATTAGATGGGGAAAGGATTTTGAAACGACAAAGAACTGATCGAAGTTTTAAAATAAGGTCGCTCAAGAAACACAACTGACTGCCGAATGAAGCAGACGAACTGCTTTTATATCTTCTCTCTCTAAGTGAATTACGATCAAACTGATAAGTTCGGTTGTTCCATTGAGCTGACCAACTCTCATGCGCGATTATCAATAGAGCACACATTTCCATCCCAAAATCCTCCAAACTACACTTGCACGTCATTGTTGCGTACCTCGTGAATGAGGTAAACCCTCATAAGTGATTGTTTGATGAATTTTTATTTAAAACTGAATGTGTCTTGTTGGTCTACGAAGAGTGTACTCGTTCAGAAATCACTGATGTTAACAACTGAAATTCCTTGATTGTTATTTTCATTTACTTGGTCGAACAAAATTTTTTTTTTGGCAAACAGCCACTGACGTGGTTGATTAGGAAAGGAAGTGTACTTAAGAAAAGTTGAAAAACGTTTTAATGATGTCACGGCATCCATTCAACTGTTGGTCAAAGAAACATATTTTCTCGTCATTTTGTTATCTTCGTATTAGTACTAAATAAGGAGATGAATCCGGTTTTACTACATCTGCATGTCTCCCACGACGACGACGACGTTGGTGATGATGATGATGATGTTGGTGGTGGCAGAAGACAATCATCTGAGAAGAAGTAGTATAAGAACATTGATGATAAAGAGGTGAGAAGAGTTGACAAAGAGAGAAAGAGAAAGAGAGAGTGAGAAAGAAAGGGAAAAGAGATGTTGAAGTTTATCTTTGGCATAATGTCCTAGGCAACCTCTGACACACATGACTTACCACTTCTTCTCTTCTCAATAACGGAATGACTTACAATAGTCAATCTTGTACTAGTGATTAAAGAAAAGAAAAATAATAAACATGAGAAGAGAAAGAAGAAGAAGAAGAGCAGAACGATGTAAGAAGAAGGTTTTCTATTAGCAGCTGCTGGAACTTCATAATGGTTGTCGTTGTGTTTTCCCCTTTCGTTTTTGTTCTTTTTACTAATCATTTTATATTCTTTTTTTTTACATTTCGTTTACTTGATATAGTTCCTTTCTTATATAACCAAGTCCTGATTCGTCTGGATTCATTCAACAACCACTTCAGATTATCGTCTACCATAGCTTCTCTCTCTCTCTATCTATCTATCTCTTTCCCTCTTAACTTCTTACTCTCTCTCTATCATCTCATTCTCTCTTCTTCTTCTCCCTGCAGATAGGAAACATAGATGGCATTTACATGTTTACAACAGCTTTTATCCATTGCCTTCCTTTTTTCATATTAAAATTTTCTTTTTTATTAACTGTTGTTTTTGCTTTCCTCCATCAACGTCCAATCTATGCGTTGAAGCTGTGAAAACCTGATGCGCACCCTGTTTATTCTTTCCAATTTTATTTTTTTCTCATGAATTACGTTAGAGTTCCTCTCACTATCTCCTTCTACACCTAGCCATTAATCCATCATGTTTGTTATTTTAAGCATTGTCGCCAAGTTGAATGGACCAAATCTGCCACTGGTTGGCTCACCGACCATTGGGTGTTCTTCTTATTGTTTTTTTAATAATTCTACCTATATTAAGGTGAGTTTCATATCATCATAACCTCCATTCCCTCATCCTTACCTCTCTCGTGATTCGAGAAGAACAACCGATCACTTGCGTTCACACATATTAGAATGACCTTCACGTGAAACATGACGTAAATCATTGAATTTAAGTTATTTTCTCTTTCATCCTCTTCGCATAGAGTCAGATGTTCGACGTGGCTTTGCTCAACGTAATGGACGATCGACACACGAATTGAAAGTACTGTTCATGGCCAATTCTATATCGCATACGTCAGTTGATGCTTTTCAGAGTTTCGCCGATTTCTACAACATTTCCTATGAAGGCTTAGATATATGGGTTATCTTGATAAAATCTAAGAAGGGCTCAAATGAAACTGACCTAACAATCAATAGCAACTTGCTCAATGAAGTAAGAACCTTACTCTCGATCATACGCATCACATGTTCCAGGTTGAACGATTGGATCAGTTCATCATGAACTTCTCAATCACTGCTGACAACACCGTCTTGAGGGTCTCTGATTTGGAGGGATCCAAGTTGAATTACCTTTTCGATTGGTTTAAAGTAATTGAGTTTATATTAAAACGAAGTGGTTCTATGTGTTATAGTATACTCATGAGTTGTCCATGTTCTTTGGAGATATCGATTTGTCCCATCCTATTGGTAAAGCGATGGGGCATGAGTTCTTTACCGGAAGTCATTTCTTTGGAGTGAATGACCATTTCAAAGAGAATCAAGTATGCTTCATCAGTTATAACTATATCATATGGTTATCATCATCTCTCAGACAGGTCCAATAGAAACAGCCAAGTTCATGACCTTGTGGTACATGAGCTCAGCTGTCACGTTTGATGAGAAAAAGAAACTGGAACTTCTCCAAATGGAACTGTTCAAATTGAGTATAGCAGACAACTTCAGTGATATCCTAAGCTTCCAGATGTACGGAGATCAGGTAGCAAAATTGAAAACTCATCGTACTTTTTTAACCACTATCTAGGTAGCTAATGCGGAAATGTTGAGAGGAACTATGTTCACCGTCAAGTTGTTTGTTGTGGGAGTAGTAATGATGATTGTCTTTATGCTATACTCCTTCAAGCATTTAGAGTTCAAATCTCAGGTTAGTCCTCAAGCTTTCTCTCTGCAAAACTATCTTTCTCAGATCATTCAAACAATAGCTGCAGTCGCTTCGCCAACAATCGCAACAGCAACGTGCTTTGGGATTCTAGGATGGACAGGAACTCCTTTCAACTCCATCATGTGTATAACACCATTCTTGGTTATGGGAATAGGTTGTTAAACCTGTTTCCATCATGAAACTTAATATGTGCTTAAAGGAGTTGATGATGCATTCTTGCTTCTCCATAGTTGGAGACGTCACTCCACGGTGGATAATCAGAAGAAACGAATCAGAGCCGTTCTTCTCGAGATCGGGCCTTCTATGGCCATAACATCAGTCACGAACACACTAGCTTTTGGGATAGGAATGACATCGCCAACTCCTCAGGTACAGGAAGTACCAACATAGTGACTACATTGTCGAACATAGATGAGTGCATTCTGTTTGTGTACTGCTATAGCGGTACTACTCGATCTCATATTCGAGTTTGCAATCTTTGTTCCTATTATGGTTCTTACCTACAGAGAGAGAGTTGAGAAGCTTCCTCTTCGCCCAAGGCAAGTTGGTCCCAGCTTATCAAAAATCATATTTCTTGAAGCTTTTCTTTCTTTTCATGGACCAAGTATGTCCATGTGCTCCTATCGAAGACTGGAAAAGTTATAGCTGTTACTTTGACTCTGTTGTTATACCTGTCTGCTACGATTGGTGTATCACAGCTTGTCCCATCGTTTGATCCATCCAAAACGTTCCCAAAGGATTCTGAACTCCTTGTCGCCCTAAGAAACTTTGAAATCATTCAGCAAGAGGTTTGACTTGATACATTTGTATTGCTATATCGATTACTGTCTAGTATGCTCCAATCAATTTTGTAAGTCGTCATATGCCTGATCTCCGGAACGAGACAGAAGTGAGCGAGTTCTTCCAAATGATTTCTCGATTAGAAAATCGTGACTTCTGTTATGGCAGTAACAGGACTCAACTACTTCTCAGAGATTATATTAACGTAATTTAAATATTCAAAGATGAATCAATGTCATTCATGATTCCAGACAATGAACTCAACGAATCTAACCTACGAAGGAATTCCCAAGTTTCTGTCTGATCGCATGATAGCCGATAAGAAAATAATTCAGTTTCACAGAGAAAAGTGAGTCTCTCTCTCTCTCTCCTCATCTCCTTATTAGGAACTTGTTCTTTGTAGTAATTCTGTTGTCATGGACGGTATTAACTATATAGTTATATGTAAAGGTAAATTATGCAGACATGGCTAGTTTGATGGTTATATTGAAGGAAGCCTTGATTGGAATATACGAGCTGGTCGAATAGATCAGACTCGTCACATCATCGATGAATATCCACAGTTCAATACAACTTTGTTTGATTATGATAGTACTATATACGATTTGATCATTACTGTAAAGGTAAGTGTCATTTGAATGTTTCACGTGTCAATCCACGTGAACGTGATTGTTGACGTGGAAGTTTACGTACACGCCAAAAATCATTCAATGCATCATGTAGACTTGCAGAACGATTGTTTTTTTTTTCAGTATGAACTCTTCAAGGCAGTTCTTCTCACATTTGTTTGCATGGCCATAGCCTGTGGGTTCATGATTCCCAGTCTGGGGGCAGCTTCAATAGCAACCGTATCAATGTTATCGATCTCATATTGTATACCAACAACAGCTATATCATAATCATATGAATATTCAGCACTATTGGGATGGTTATCAATCTGGGGACAAGATATGGATCCAGTGACTATGATCAATGTCTTAATGGCTATTGGATTCAGCGTAGACTTCAGGTATCCTCTGACACAGTCAGAATCATCCATATGCTCTTCAGTGCTCATGTATGCTATCATTATCATATACATCGTCATCAAGACATTAAAATGGATAAAAAAGAACAAATTGAACAAATTTTAAAAAGCGTCGGTCGACCAATGATCGAAGTAAGATTCACGTTTGGAAGATCTCTCTATCTATACATTCTCATTCAGGCTTCTCTCTCAACTTTAATATGCATGTTGCCATTGTTTTTCGTTCCTGTATATATCATTGAGTCATTCGCTCGAACGGTTTGTTTAGTGGCAACGTTTGGCCTGTTCCATGGAATCGTTATCATTCCTGTTGTTTTATCCTGGTTAGGCTCTTCCAGGTCTCCAGGTGATCCCAATTCTCAAGATATCCTATTGACAGCTTCTCCTTAACAAACTTCTTTTTCAAGTTTGCTTTATCATTCATCTTTCTCTGTACATTTTTTTGTCTCGAAAATGAACATTTCTATTCAACGAACTTCTATGTGGCACGTGCCATTCACATAGGCACAAGAGGAGGTTGGGTTGACTGCGCTCTCATGGAGGTCAAGAAGAAGGAAAAGAAAAATGAAAATGCTTTTATATTTATTATTAATAATCACATTTTGTGATTATATTATTATGTCTATCTTCTAATTCGAAGTTATTATCCGTGATGAGCAACAGAAGACTGAGCGTCTCCAACGCTGGAGAATGAGAAGTCAGCTCCTGTTGATCCAGTTTGAGAGCATGAGACTTGATGAACTGTTGGTCCTTCTCCTTCCTCAGTTGCTTTCCACTCTCCATCAACACAGAAGAGCTGTAATAACTTGGTTTAAACATATTTTTGGGAAAACAAAGATTCACCTGTAAGTTGGCCATTGGGTTACCATTAGCTTGCTTGAGAACTGTAGTTCCATCTTCAGCGATGGCTTGAACGACTACATTGGTAGGCTGGAAAATAGACATTGTATACATAAATCAGATAAACGTGAACATACATTTGTTTCAGCAGCGGCAGAGCAGAGAAGATATCCAGTTGTTGGGCAAGTAGAGCTGACTCTTCTCAGGATGGAACATTGGTGGAATGTTGCAGCTTCTCCTACTGGGCTAACTTTGGGAACGTTGACTGCTGTTAATGGTGCACAGCAAGCTGGAAAGAAACTTTGAATTTTCACTTTTCCGATGAAAAAAAAGGAAAGAAGAAGATTGATGGGAGAGTCTCGGAGATTATTTGTCACTTTCACCTAATTAGATAATCGCCGTGTCATGTAAGGGACCGACAACAGATAATCCTATTCCCGCAATGGATTATCAAGGGTAATCCTATCACCCTATCATTTCAAAGTTTCTTAGGTGAAGTTTTTAAATTTTAAATGCATTTTTTTTCAAATTGGTTAATAATGAATGAAAGACTTACGAACTGTAGTTGTCGTTGGGCTTGTGGGAACACAGGCTTGTGAAAGACCAATGACGGCCAACAGGATAATGGCGCGGCAAGACATTTTCTTTCTAAAACATGCAAATAGATGGAAGAAGGAATGCTCTTGGTAAAAATATGGATGAAAGGGAAAAGATCTAAGAAAGAGTCTCATGAAGCGATCTGACACTACCTGAGAAGTAAAAGTGTCCAACAATTAAAAGTGAAACAAGAGGGAAGGTTTTAGGGGTGGGGATGAAAGGGGTTGTCCCAGGAGGATCAAGAAATGGAAAGAATGGATAAGTCTTATCTGATTATCATGTTTCTTACCGATTTCCTTAAGGTGTTCGTTCATATCTGTAGACAGCTCGTTCTTTGCGACACCCTAGGGTGAGAGAAGCGGATTCACTGGAAACATCAGCAACCTTAAAAGAAAGTTAGGTCATAGCTGTTCCGGAAATGGCAAACCCTTCTCCAAACGCTTGAAGATGATGAAGTTGTTGTAAAACTGTTTAGATGTTTGAGTGTATGTGTGTGTGTAGTAAAGAAGTACTTATAAGGTAAACGATTTATTATGAAGTCATGTGAATGCAGATGACCGTTTGATACAAACGGACAGAAATTACAATTTGCAAATTGGGATCGCGATGTCGTTTTTTGTGTACAGAAGCTCATTGAAGGAGAAAATGATATGATGTTGTGAGATGATTTGCTTGATCATCTAGTAGATTAGACAAGAACCCTCTCTCTATCATCAAGTTATCAAATCATGCCTTAGATGATTGTCGCCAAACAAAAACGTTTTTGTTTCCAAAAAAATCTTTCGACATGCAAAGGGTCATAAAGGACAGGATTGAAAGTTTGACCTTAAAACATGATGGATGATATCGTATTATCAGTCTTTCATTTATAATGAAGACTTTCCATGATGAAGTTGATGATGCTTGTCGAAATAGGAAAAGCCGAAACAGGATAAATCCGGTGACCGGAGAGACGAGAGAGACATGGCTGACAAGGGAGCAGAAATGAAAACGACAAGAGGATTAAAGAATTCAAGTTCATTGATAAACGTTGATAAGCAAGAAAGCCAAAGATAGATGGGACCTCTCTTGCAAATCCTATTGAACATCTAGGTCATATCGCATACGGTTCAAAAATTTGTTAAATAATTGGCTGAATCAGATATTCAGCTACTAAACATATTTCACAGAATTAAATTAAATATATAAATATCCTGTAGCAAGTGAGGAAATGGAGATTATGTGTAAGTGACTAGTGTATGGAAGGCATTTCTCGATATCTCATTCTCATTTTCCGATTCCCAAACCGCTGGACACTCCGATAGGTCCGACACCTGGAATTCCAATGCCAAGTCCGGAACTTATACCGAATATTCCGCCTCCACCTAACAAGTTTTGTACATAACTGCTTTTTTGTTTTTCATTTACCTCCTCCAAGTCCTCCCATACCAGGCGATCCTAGTCCTCCGATACCAGGCGCTCCTATTCCAAGACCGGAGCTGACTCCTACGGGACCGGCACCTATGCTTGAACCAATACCAATTCCACCTGGATTGGAATTTCCGAAAGCAGGAGAAGGAGCAGATACTGGTCGACTGGCCACTAAACATTCATGTAACAAATCCAAAAGCTGAGATAAGTATGCCTGGTTCTTCCTGAGAGACAAAGGAATGAGCTCTTTGACTGTTCTCGAGAGGACGTGTACGAAGAGTAATTTCATCACTATCAATAGTAGGAAATTCTTCGGAAGAATCGATTTGATGATGGTTTTTGCTAACAAATTTACTTTGCCATTTGTCCTTAAGAGAGAATATGAAAGAATGGAGAAATGAGAACGACGACGAACTTCATCATCCCATGTAGCAGCTGTAGTTGTACGTGGACGGCTGGTAGTAGTTGGCCTTTGGGTAGTCTTCTGTATGATCTCATCTACAATATGGCAAAGTTTAATTGAAAATAAAGTTTTTTGTTGTTAATAACCTGAACTGATTTCTTCTAAGTCAAGTGTTTCTTGTGAATCTGGTTTCTCAACAATTGCCGATTCGGCAGGGGCATGATGATGATGGTGGGATTTGTGCTTATGATGATGATGATGATGTCTGGGTTTGTGTTTACGAACGAAGTTCATATAGTTAGCATAATCCGAATTATAATAACCAGGATATTGACCATAGGATGAGTATTGTGGATATTGCTGCTGATAAGCTCTGTAACAACAACAACAACAATAGAGGTTGATGAATGACAACTCTAACGAACCCGCATATGTTAGGACATTGGCATTGCTGATAAATCTGTGGTTGATTACATGCATAGCCAGTCATTGATCCATAAAAGGCTTCAAACAAAGTATATTCATGAATATAACATGTAAATGCTTACTTGCATGAGCCAATGAGATAGCTGATAAGCATAAAACAGAAATCTGTATGAGACCCATATAAGATATCTGTAAGAGTAGTAGAAGTGTTAGAAAAGAGTGTATGTATGTGATGTGAGTGTGCTTATAAGGAGAGAAGACTGTTAATTACAATGACGAGAATGGAAAAAGGGAAGAAGAAGAATGAAGATACATCAACCTACCTGACTGCCACAAACATTTTTGTTTCAAATGATTGAAGATTGAAGGTTTTTCGAGATTTCTTATAAATTACGTTGTCATGTTGTAATGTCTTTTGTTAATTGAACAAAAACATTTTTTTTGGCCACGAATTTATTCAAAAACAAAAGAATATTAATGAAACGTGTCTCTCTCTCTCTCTTCATGCTGCTGATGCTGTTGGTGATGCTGTAGATGATGTGCTACTGTCTGTCATACCACTTGCACTCTCTGATCAGTTGATCAGAAATGTGCAAAGCAAGGTGATGAAGGCTAACCGTCTTTTCCCCCGTCTTTCCAACTTGTCATAACCTTCATCTCTTCATATGCTTACCCTTCTCCCCTTTCCCCTCCCCATTACGTCATTCAAACAAACATTATTTTACAAAATTTTATTTTTTAAATCTTTTCTTTTATATTTTAAAGCGATGGATTCATTACATATTAGCTGATTAGCATAAATACCCGTTGTTTTGTATTTTCTTTTTCATAAAAGTGAGCCGGGATTGGAGGAGCAAGTTCAAGATACAAGTACAGCACAAGATATGAAAGAATAAGATGTTAAACCATATGTGACATGAGAGATAATAGAGAATAGAGAGAGAGAGAGAGAGTGAGACGATGGGAAAGATGGGAATGGTAGGATGACTCTAGTAGTGAGCATACCTTATGACACGATAGTTATATATTTGATAATTTCAAAAATGAAACATGTTATATGTAAAAATAAAAAAAAAGGATAAAACTAGATTGTTTTGATTGATTAGTTGATTGAGCCATCTGTTATGAGAAGGAGATAGAGTGAGAGCACGCGCTACAGAGCATTAGCTCAATCAAACTACAATGAGAGATATTCGGATGAATAACTATATTTCAAATTTCTTTTGCTCTAATACCCTGCAACTTAGATGTCATCCTGTTCAAGCATTGATTGTTCCGTATCTGCTACGGATTCAGTCTGTTTAAGAACGTGATAGACGTCGAACATGGCATTACGGCTTGGTCGTAGAAGAACAGTTGCGAGTACAGAGAGAATGAACATCTCACAGATGATGACGAAGTTACAAACAACTAAAGAGGAAATACTTTTGTGGAACAAAGAGTGTTTACTTACATGTAGCATTCTCTTGTGCTGATAGTAACGGGCCACACGATATGAGATCAAATCGAAGAAGGACATTCTGGAAGATCATTGGCTGCTGTGCTGAGAAGAATAGAAGTGAGATATCAACAAAGCGGAATATCGTCATGAAACAGAATGAGGATAGTTTATTCTGAAATCATTTGAAAAACATTATAAATAGGCCGAATGACGTCAACATACCGATGTTACTCGGGCAAGTGTATGAACTCCAAATATAGCCAACAGTAGGGATACGACGCAGAACATATCCGAGTACCGTAGGAACCTTTAACAACGTTTGTGATATTTGTGATATTTTCTTTTTTGAAATTTAATATAAATATTAGTGTTTACAACCGTTTCGTCTACGAACCAAAACACAAAATGATTTCCAGTCTTATCCACGTATGACGCCGCCAACGTCAACATACGTGGAATTTGAAAAAATGCAAATGAAGGTGCTTACGTCTTTGCTTCTTCTCTCATTTCAGCTACAGCCACGATATCACTAACGATGATTATCGCCCGAAAGACGGGAGCTTGTAAAACAAGGAATTCTAATCTGCGAATATTTCTTCTGAAAAAAAGAACAAAAACGATTAGGAGAGGCTGAATGTGATAGACGGCTTACTCGGTTGGCTCGGCAGTTGGCAACGGCAAACATGGAGCAATGCAACAGAAAGGAGGACTGTGAAAGTCGATTGGATCTTCAATTCGATTTGAGAAGGAAGTACGTCCACCAAACAGATGTCTAGATAGGTATAGTTAGCTAGTTAATGATATGATATATAGTATTACCGACATAACGATACTATAACAAATAGACACATGAGGTAATAGAGAATACCCAGAGCTGTCATGATCAAGGAAGTTCTTGGAACAAGCATACCTATCAGACAACAACTCGTTGATACCTGAATTCATATATATATACTATATGTAATAGTTAAGAAAGAACTCACTGGAAATAATGTTACAAGCCAATATAATTTATTTCTTCGTGTTTCAATTGAAACAAAACGATAGACGTAAGCCCAATGAGCTCCAGCCAATATATAGATGATTAAAGTGAATACTGAGGCTATTAGTAATAAGACAGCTTGGAATGGCTCAAGATCTAGAATGATAGCATATAAGCTTGAGATGTAAAGATTGGAAAAGTACTTTGTAAGAATTCCATGGCACTTGGAGTATCTGTATGATCTGAACAGTTTTTATCCGGTGGAACCATGAGCGATTCCATTAAGCGAAAGACTGGTCCCATCTCCAATCCACTCATCTACAACAGAACGAATAGTTCGATGGAAGGGGGGTCTCTACTATAGAGAGAGAAACAGAGAGAGGTGTGCATAAACAAAATATTTACAAAAGAAAAAAACATGTTGGAATAAATAAAAGATAACAATTGGTTACTTGGAATGGGGTAGAAGGAAGAGGAAGAAGAAGAAGAAGAAGAAGAAGGTGATGGGAATGAGGTAGTGGGAGGAGAAGAAGGTGAAGAGTGAACAAGGTACATAAGGTCAAATCAGATGAGCTACACGACCTCCAGAATCTTTTATAGAATATTCGAATAAAACAATAACAATGACCTTTTATGGGAGTATAGAAGATAAGATAAATAAGATTTCTTCTCATTTCAACTTGTATGTTGTTCATCTCGCATAATCAACAACAGCTTCAGAGTCTCCCTTCTTATACCCTACATGATGATTCACACACAATGATTATCATATAACAAAGTACAAAAGATAAGAGCTGTTTTATAATTTACAATCAAATCTCACCTGATTTGATCATATCATATAGTTAAGGCTTTCAGTTCTTAACTATATGATCAATGCAGTTATATCATATAGTTTGTGATTCACAACAATGTGTGCAAAACTAATCTAATGCACAAGAAAACGAACACACGGGGAGACGATAGAGATAAAGAGAGAAAGAGAGTATAAGAGTTGCAAAAGATAAAAATAATGATGACAAGAGAGAGAAGGAGAGTGATAGATAGACATAAAGAGAGAAAAACATAGAGAGAGAGAGGGAGGGAGAGAGAGAGAGAGATAACATGAAATGAGGAAAAGATAAAGAAAGAAAGAAAACTTTTCAAACTCAGCATTATGACTTCCTTAACAATAAGATAATGATAATGAAATCTTTCAGGAAGATTTATTTCATTGACTCATTTTTTAAAAATTACAAAACTGAATGTTAGTCATTAACAAAGAATGTGCTGCTCCCCTCCCTCTGTGAAATCATTTAAATCCATTTAAACCGCCGCCTTCAACAGGCCATATGTCTTGCTAACGAAGATAACAGGAAAGAAGTTGAATATGTGTCTATGTGTATGAAAGAAAATAAGTATAGAAGGGAGGATGGGAAGGAAAGGATGATCTATCAAGCAGCAATAGCAGCAGAGCAACAAACTACTGCCAACAATGGATAAGTAGTAGGATAAGAACTATGAGGTAAGAGAGAATGAGATAAGCTCGTCAGCAAAGAGATTTCGTTCCAAGTCGAATGAAAGCACTGAACTGTTAGTTTGATGAAAAAGCATCAAAGAGATCATTTAAACAATTTAAAAGCAAAAGACGCTCATCAAATAGAAAGAGCAAGTAAGTACATGATGATGTGACTCAAAGTACAAGTACAGAAAGGATATAGGAAAGTATAAAGGAATCAATCAATTACATTAAACTACTAATGGAATTGGTTTCATGTGAAGAGTAAATGCCACCAACGTTCGAGCTTAGCTTAGTCATTGGCTATTCATTGTTTCTATCTCCTCTCTAATAGATATCCAGCTTTTTTGCGTAGTTTGTGTGCTTTTGATGATGCTGGAAGAGACTGGTTGTCAACGTCTTGCTCTCGGCATTGTTTGCATTGTCCACATCATTAGCACGTAGATATTCGACAAAAAAAGCCAAAGAGTAGAAAAAGAACTTTCAGAGAGAGAGATAATAGGATATGAAGAGATTGGCAGAGATTAACAATTGGAATAACATCTTCAATGTTGCGAGTAGGTGGAGTGAATGGAAGAAACTATAATAAATAGAGAAAAATAAAGAAAAAGGAGGCAAAGATGAAAGAAAGACGAGGATGCGACAAGGAATGAGAGAGAAGTGAAAATGAAAAAAAAACAACCGTTCTTCACGTCAACAGCTGGCCTACTGGCTGCGGCAGGCAATTTCACGTAAAATTACACGGAATTAGCCATTGACGTGAGTCACGTGTGAGAGAGAGAGGGAAAGAGAGGAGAAGAGGTGGAGAGGTTGAAGAGGAGAAGATGACGTTGAAGTTGAAGAATGAATTTTTCCATTTGAAACTCTTTGTAACTCAATCCATATGAAAGTGAATATTGTGGAATGAGGAAAGAGAAATGGAAATGACGAAAACGGTTGGACGGATCAGGCGACCATGGGGACCATTGGTGACGGAGTATAAGATGTAAAAACAGATTTTGATGATGAATTTGCATTTACAAAAAGTATATTTTGAAAAAAAGAGAAGAAGGTAGGTAGGTAGGGATGAAGGAGAGATGAAGAGCATCGAGAGAGAAGTAGACGGTTATTGGTGGGAAGAGAATTATGGATTGCATGACGTTGATGATGAAATGGAATTTGCAAAAGAGGATTTCCATATGAAATGAGTTGGAAAGAAGCGCGAAATGAGGAATTAAAGGAAATTATAGTTTTGTTGAACGTTTTTCATTCTTCTTATTCGTTTTCACAATTCCAAAATATGATTCATTGAGTTAACAAGGCTGGCTATGCAACATACATAGACGGACAGAGGCATACAGCACACAGCTACAGCCTTCTCCCTTTGCTTATTCGTTTTTCTATTATTTTCGACAAAAAAGAGAGAGTGGAGAAAAAAAATCTTTTTAAACTTCGAGATAGTCATGGCTGTCACACTCATTTCCATGGAATTTTTGATTTTAGAATACGAAAGCGGCCTTTGCAGAGTTTGATGGACGGGAAGATGGAAAAGCTACACCTCTGACGCCCAAGCCCAAACATAAATAATCAAATGATGGCTGTTTTGTGATTTTATTTGTTTAAATAGAATCAGAATGATCAGATGAACCGAGTTTATTCAAAAATAGAATGAAAAGACGTTTGACAAACTTGATTTCGGTCAATTTGAGTGGGGAAAAGAGAAAGATGTGATTGAGAATTATTAGTTAAGTTAAAAAGCAATAAGAGGGTAAGAGAAAGGGAGAGAGAGAGAGATAGAGAGTGCGAGGGAGGAAAACAGTAATGGGGTGGGAAGTAAGAACATTGTTTGAAAGCTTCTGAGTGAGAGATAGAGAGAAGAGATGGTAACGGGGAAGGGGGAGTATAGAAGAAAGGAACAGGAGAAGAAGGGTTTGACTCAGATGAAGTAACGGTCGTGAATATTGTATTCAAACAATACCAAGAGAAGGGTTGAACTGCACCTGATCTCTACATACGTTTACTTTCTATTCTTGAGATTTATTGGTCAAATAGATGATGATGGAAGACGTTTTTTTTCTTTTTGTTCATCTTATTCCGTAAACCACATGAGAAGCACATTAGAAGCTTAGAAGAACAAACGGTAATCATCAACGCCAACTGACTCTTTTAACTAGAATTCGATACAAACATCATGACGTCATGATAGTCGAGGCGTGAAGAAGGATAAGATGATGAAGTGAGAAGTTGAAGCAAGAGAGAATGAAAAATACGAAAAGAGACTGTTAAGCCGAAACGAAGCATCCTTAAATGGAAACCTGCCGATCAGCGCGAATTCAATCAGGTAACTGATAGCCCAATGATCACGAAAATGAAATAAAAAGAGAGGGAGAGAAAGAGAGAAAGGAGGGAAATGAGCAAAAGAGGGAAGAAGAATGAAGCCAGAGGAATGGTGGTGTAGGAGGAGAAGGAGAGGAGGGAAATTATCAAATTTCACTCAAACTCTTCATTCAGAAGAATGATATGGATGAATCTTAAGGAGAGAAAGTGAAAAGTAAAAGAGTGGAAAAGGAAAATGAACGAAAACAACAACGAAAACACAAAAAACACGACAATGATGATGCCATCAACAAGTGATTCTATTGATAAACATCTAGTTAACTAAAAAGAGAAAGAGGGAGAGATAGAGAGGGAGGGAGGGAGGAAGGATATAGAGAGAAAGAGAATAATTGAAATGAAAAGAATATTTGAAGCAAAAAAAGGAGAAGATAAGAACATTATGGGAAACAGGCTTATTTGGAAATGAAACAAGGTCTGGTCAGGGTGGATGGTCAGCGATATGCCGTCGTTTTCCGTTTCTTATCTTCTCACTCTCTTCTCTCATCATCTCTCTATCTCCTGCAATATTACGTAATAATATTATATTTGAAAGCTTAACGTCTCCATTGTAACTTATGACAATCAAACTTCAGTGAACACGATGAAGATGAAGATGATGAAGAGAGTGAAGGCAGAGTAAGAAGGAGCAGCATAGCACAAGAACGTGAGGAGAAGCTGAAGAGGAGGGAAGCCATTGAAACTCAAATTATCAAAGAATATCCAAAAACAAAATAAGCGAAAGTTCAAAAATATTTTCATTAAAGAAGCATTTTGTGTTCGACGACATGCTCCTCGAATGAAAACATCACCGAATCACATCTCGATGCGAGGTGTTTCTGTTGGCCATATTCCCTCCTTTACTCCTCCCTTTCTCTCACAAAAATCAAATATTAAAAAAATAATTTTTGTAATAAAAATAATATCAAATATGGACATGTATGTAAGTGTGTATGAGAGTAGGAGAGGGAGAGTCTCCATGTCTATGTATGGCTCTATGTATATGTGTGTATGTATGTGTGTGTGTGTTTGTGTTTCGTAACAAGTTCATTACTATAAATGGCTCATAAGAAATTGAAATTAACTTCTTTTACGAAGCATTCAGAGCTTACATTGAATTGGATTCAAATGTCTTTTTGCAAAACTACACACTGACATAGTACTACTCGAGCAATGAGATTGCAGGTAGGATTTAGAGCTAGTGATAGAGAGAGAGGGAGAGGAAGAGTTAGACAGAGAGAGAAGGAAGACAAGAGGTGAGAAGTGATTCCTTAGAAGAGTACAACAAGGAAGTGAATAAATATAACAAAACATATAAGGATACTTATGCTTATTTACAATTGATCCTTCTCTCTTAAGGTGTTATGGAAAGATCAAAGAGAGTCAAGACTTCACAGAGAGAGAGAGGGAAATGGCTGAGTGTAGAGAGAGAGAGAGAGAGGAAGAGAGAGGGGAGCAAATGAAATCT